TGCTCAAAACTCGCGTTTGAATCATCAGTGGCAAATTCTTTAAATATAAAAAACTTACTTACAGTCGAGAGTCAGAACAGCCGGCATTGTAGTCTACTCTCCCAAAAAGAATATCTCTTTGGATTTGAGACTTTAGTCTTTGCAACTTTACAGATCTTCTTTATGCACCAAGAGCTTGTAAACACTCCAAAGAGAAAGGAAAAATTGAAATTGCATCATATGACCCCTTTAACAAAACTAACATATGTAGACCCTGCTGGGGCCCATATTGTGTTAAAAGTCAAAATAATTTAAAGGATTTTTTAAATTTGAGCATTAACGTTGAGTGGAAAATATGAGGATCCATTGTAAGATAATTTGCAGCAACAACATTCTATTAATATTATTCCCACTTTTACATAACAGAACAATTTTCCAACTAATTAACTGCTGGTAAATCTCATCTCTGTGGAAGGCAATTCCCAACAGACTTCATTAATACAGCAACAAACACACTGAGTAATCAACAACACATTTAGCTTAAAAGCGTTCTTCTGCGCATCTAACTAATGCAAAACATTTAATCACTGGCTTTTATCAGCTAATGCCAGATGCTTTTATATATTTATATGTTCTACCCATAAATGGTTGTGTAGAGAAAGGAAAATAATACTGTCCTATCTTTTTTGAGTACAATGTGTCCAACTGCAGCAGGAAATGCTTGTTTAATGCGTAGATAAATACATTACAGTCATATCAATTGTTTTGTAATGGACTTTTTGGATCTTTATGCTTGATAGCTCTAAAAACATGGCAGATGCAGATACACGTGTGCTCTACCTAAAGAGTTACCATGGTATTTGACTGAACATTAAGTTTCTTACCCTCTTGACCGCCTGTATTGATCCAGTCTGGATTTACAATACTTGCAATAGCGAAGATATCTGCCGCGAGAAAGAGACATCCTGAAATAATGGTGAGTTTATCCATTTTCATACCTCAGTCTGTGAACTACAAATGAGTTTAGGGCTATTAGATGTTTGGGATTGTATGAGATGGATGCAACTTTCACTCCCTCTTTTCAGAGGGAACCTCATGGAGATGCTCTTCATGCAGTTCTAGAAGACAACATCTGAATGTCAGTTGAGGGATTATGATGCAAACACCAGCAGTATGACATTCAGCATTGAACATCATCCCATTATAAAACATTACCCCTCGCGAACTCCACTAACAACAGCCTGAAAGGCGAGACCATACTTTAGCACGGCTGTGAGGAAAATCCCAAGTATTCCTATGTGTTACATCCGTGTTGGATCTTCCCTCTTGAATTATGGATATCATTGAAAGAGGAAAACGATTCCACAACGCACGAGTCTGTTATCGGATATTCTAGCAAATGTCGGGCTGTATCGATAACTACAGTTGTCCTTCTTGTCCTACGTTCTTCCGCGTTTCAATTTGAACTAATATACCGTAAAACAGCGTACGCGAACCTTTCAAAACATAACCCTGCTCGCGAGATGTTTTCCCTTTGTAAGGAATAACGGAGGGGGCAGGAGAACATGACGCAGCATGTGACGTCACCAACCTGCCTTTGACAGTTCTGTGCTCTCACTGGAACGTCACTGAACAAAATAGTTTCTTCAAAATAGCTTAAAGGGATCATATGATGTTGCTAAAAATAACATTATTTTGTGTATTTGGTGTAATGAAATGTGTGTATGCGGTTTAAGGTTCAAAAAACATTATTTTCCACATACTGTACATTATTGTTTCTCCTCTATGCCCCGCCTGATTTGAGACTTTAGTCTTTGCAACTTTATAGATCTTCTTTATGCACCAAGAGCTTGTAAGTTCTTGAGCTTCTAAAGTAGCTTGAGTTCCAGCATTGAAGCCCATTCATTTCAGTTCTTCTCAAGGACACTGACTCGCTGGTAAATTGAAGACATTTTTTGACATTTTAACGCAGTTCATTAGTTTGCGTTATATTTAAAGGGATAGTTCACCCAAAAATTCAAATTTGATGTTTATCTGCTTAACCAAACAGTATTTATATCATATTTTACCTCTAATACACCACTATGTCCAACTGTCTTTGGGCGCGCGCACGGCATCCGGTGCGTGAGGTGTGTGCGCGCTCTGGCGTAGTTATTAATGTAATATTATCGTTAGATAATAGACAGTTATACTATAATTGCAGTTAGATAACGTGAGAAACATCTTAATAGCGACCATAACCAAATGCTAATTGTCATATTTTTACGTTTTTAGTTTTTCTGCATTATTTTTCTCCCTGTAGGATGTCGAATGAGTTTCAATGAAGACTGCCCATTCAAGGAATAGAATAAAGAGTTTCGCTGAATGCAGTTGGTTGCCTTGTGTTTATAAACATTATTTTAATATTTTTTTATTGTTAAATTTTGTATTTGCTTGCCTTTTTTAATATTTACTTATGATGTAGGCTTACGTGAATATAAAATAACACTGGGATGTGAATAATTAACCTTTTTAAATTTGACATTTAAAAAATCGAAACTTATAAAAATCGAGTGTTTGATAATGTCTAAATATATATTAGGATGCAAACCCGAAAAATAAACCTGGACTAGAGCTATAGGCTACATTACACAGCCCATACGGGCATCTAGTGGTTAAATCATGGCATTACATATTAATATTATTTTTCTGGCCATCAATGCCTTTAATTTGCCTCTTTGCACTTGCATTTAAAAACGTTTTCTATTTTAACCCTAAATACTACACTAATTGTAATAGAACTACTAAGCATATTAGAAAATATTATATTTTAAATGGTTATTAATGGATCATAATTATTGCACATATTTAGTACCAAAAATCTCCTCAAAATATTAAATAGAACTGAACTAAAATATAGTAGTTATTTAATTGATTCAAATTTACACTGGTCACATCTGACTGACAAGGAGTGTGAGAACATATTAATTCTGTCTCTTAATGAAAACGTCCTGCAAGAGCGACTTCTTCCAACGATCCATGAGTGATGATCCGTGCATTTTCCAGCATGGTGGAGCACCATGTCACAAAGCAAGAGTGATAAAGGAGTTGCTCGAAGATCATTACAGTGAAATTTTGGATCCGTGGTCAGGCAACTCCCCGGATCTCAATCCCATAGAGAACCTGTGGTCAGTCCTCAAAAGGCGAGTGGACAAGCAGAAGCCCGCAAATTTTGATAAACTCCGAGAACTAATAAGGCAAGAATGGATCTCTGGTCCACATGGACAGCAAAGATGAGCTAAACGCACTGCAATGTGGCATATGGTATCCAACTAACTGTGAGGGCAAATGTATGTTACACAATTAGATTCTAGAGAATGTACAACATGTGCCTTTTCACACATGCATAATTTCACAAGGACAATTATATCTGATTTTGGTTTGGTATATAGTAAGTGTCCTTGTGTTTAATCATTAACTTATAGCAAATACATATTTTTATTTCACAAAGAGGAAGTAAAACTAATGCCATTTTAATAGTCTGATACCATAATAATCTAAGTAAGATAAGCAGACTGTTACGATAAATACACAAAGTATGATTCTGTCTCCAAAGACAATGTCTTCTCCGATATTATTTCATGACCAGAATCTGACAACATCAGTAAAACGGTTTACTGAAGTCTAACGGTTTACAAATTCAAGCTATCAGGTGTTAAATGTTGTTCACTTTCTTTATGAAGTCATCCACTAGATCCGTTAGCTGTTTCATGTCAGCCTCATCTTCACGAATGACTTCCTTCAGCTTACCAAACCTTTTAAGCTGCTCATTGCAGTGTTTCTAAAAAAGAAAGATGTTTTTGTTTACAGGTAAATTCTACACCAGTATAAAAGTGAACATTTCAGACAAAGAATGGGAGGTTATGTAAAGAATAATTTTTATTAGTTATTTTGGCTACAAATCACATTCTATCTGCTTTAAATCAGAAAGTGCAGCAAGATAATTAAAAATTAATAAAAGTTGCAGTTGATAGATCTCGGTGTTCAAAATCTTCCAGCTCATGTAGCACATATAAAGTCGAGATGTTTCTGGTAATTGCGAGCAAAAGCATCACATACTTCAACTGCACACAGGTGATTTGCTGCGGAATTGAGGACATCAGTCAGATTCTTGGACACCATGCGGTTCTCCTCATTAGTCTCCTGCACGACCACGTGATACCTGATGGAGAAGTTCAGATACATGTAAAAGAAGATGAACAGGTGGCGCATTAAGAATGAAGTGGATGTTCAGATGCTCACTGTTGTTGGGCAGCTTTGAGTTCCTCCTCGGATTCCTCGAATCCCTGCATCACGTTCTTTTCCAAACGCTTCTTGTGAGCTTCAACGGAGTCCACCTCAGCTGCCCACTTCTCCTCCTCTTGTGCCATTTCCTACACACAGCATAACTAATTCAATCACATGTGCTGAGTGACCATTTCAAATGTGTCACTTCTGAAAATCAATAAAAAAGCCCATGAATTCAGTGAACATACAGGCTGATATTTTTAGCAGGTTTAACATCAGAAATGCTAATGCATTGTACCTGCATGTCATGCTCAAGCTGTTGGTCGACTCTGCGAACCTGTTCCTTTAGATGCTTGATGTCATTCTGCTTATCAAAGATGTTGGACTTCACCTAATAAACAGTTGGAATGGTGATATGCACTACAACTATTTACAACATGTTACAATGTGAACACCATAAATTAAACACTGTTATAATTCATAATCCTTTGGCATAAATGAGTGGAATTCATTGCGAGCTGCTCTGAAACTGTGGGACTGTAGAACATGAAATTGTGCTGCATTTGACTTGCAGCGCTCAAGCAAGAGTGTGATTCCTGTTCCATCCACAAATTTAATACCATTAATGCTTAAAAGATAAATTACAAGAGGACGAATGGAAGTCTCGCACCTGTTCAACAGTCTCTTCCAAACTTAACTTCACATTGGTGAGTCTGCTGTATTCATCCTCCACATCTACCATCATGTTCTTCAGAGGGTTCTAACAGAGTTAAGAAAAGAATAATTAAAGTCCTTAATCGTTACAAAAATGAAGCCTCTTTGATGGACAGCTGTAGCGACGGTACCTGTATCTGTGTCTTGTACTGCGTGATGGTTGTGGCGCTGTAATCTGCTCTGATTTCAAAGTCATGACCGCAGGCGTTCTCTGCAGACTGCGGGATGAGCTTCAGCTTACGACCCAGTTTATTATACTCAGCAACCATCATCTCCGCCTGCAACAAAATGAGAAAAATTCTATTGTTTACACGTGTTAGACAGCATGTTAACAGCTAGATGGATCCAACTGATTTTTTGAACCTTAGAATTATTAATAGAAACCAAGCAATTGTCATCAAATCTTTGAAAGACATTCATTCTATTTGATACTGTAAGATCTAGTTCTACTTTGCTTTCTTGAGCCACTAATTTCTTCGGTTATAGTTTCTGCTGGTTTATCTATCATCTTTTTCAGATTTATGTACACGGCAAGTAAAAACAAACTGGTTGGTCACTTTACGTCAGATGCATTGTATCTTCCTCGTTTAACCCTTATGCTGCACTGAAGTTCTTTTACCGAATTTGTTCGATCAAAAAAAATGACCAGCCTTTTTTAAAATTGCTTGTAAATGTCTCATTATGCTATATTAACAACAAATCTCAGATTTTCCAAAGAGGCCATAGAGAGGAGTTTGAATGAGAGTAAAGTAATGTAAATGACACCATAAGTCACATGACAATATGGTACTATGTCCGGTTTTCAATCGTACTACACATATTCGTACTATATAGAACTTTTTTTTTTTTTAATGGTCACTAAGGCAGTACTTAAACAAATTATGAAAACTATTCAAACAGTATGTGATTTCAGATCAACTGGCTGGGACATCTGTAAATCCCTGACCTTCTCTTTGGCTTTGGACAGGTTGACCTCCTCGTTCCACACCAGCTGCTCCGCCTCCTCTAGACTCTGGTTTAGGCTGTGAACGGTCTGCTGCAGTTCATTCCTCTCTCTGTTAATACGCTCAATATCAGCTGGAGTGAACTTCTGATTCTCCAGGATGTGCTGCAGCCTCGTCCTCTCCTGCTTCAGACCCTCCAGCTGCATATCTGCACAAAGAACAGGGAAATTAAGCAACTGAACTCAACGTCAAGGCATTTGCATCTGCATCTTGTAATCTCTCTCACCAGCAGCCTCGAGCTCCTCAGCTAGTACAGCAGCTTTATTCTCCAGTCCAGTTTTATGAGCCTCTAGAGTACAACGATAGTTCTGCAGCTTCTGCAGATCAGCCTGCAATCTGAGCTTCTCTGTCCTCTTCCCTGCTAAACGATCCTGTCAACATACACGTAGTCCACACATTAGTGTAAACTCCTTTCTTTGTATATGTAAGACCTTAAATGTCCTATGTCACATCTACCCTAGTACTCACAATACATAATTTTTTTTCTTTGTTATATCTGGGATCATATACATTTTTGGCATTTCATGAAGGTGTTTGAGAGAAGCCCAGCAGGTGTAATTCACAGGGTTGACTGACTTGACTA